TTGCCTTTTTATACCTAGATCACCGAATCCTTTTTAGAATGTGCATGCCTTAACACTTTGGGATCCCCGAGTACCCTTCAGTTGCACACTACCACTCCCACCAAAATTCTTGAAGTCCTAACCCTCACTATTTCAGTATGTGAAATTATTCAGAAACTGGGACATTGGAGATATAATTAGTTAATAAGAGGTTATACTGAAATAAGAGAGACTCTTATCTTATGGAAATTGTGTCTTTGAAAAGGGGGAAATTTGGACACACAAAGGGTAATGTCATGTGAAGATGAAGGCAGGAAACAGAGCAATGTGTCTAGAAGACAAGGAATAACAAAGTTTGCCAGCAAACCACCAGAAGCCAGGAGAAAGACTGACGTGATACAGCCTCAGAAGGAATAAACCCTTCTGACACCTTGGTCTCAGACTTCTGATCTCCAGAAACATAAAAAAATAAATTTCTCTGGTTTGAGTCACCTATTCTGTAGTATCTTGTTAAAAAAAGCCCTAGCAAACTAGCAGGGTGCTAGACTTGAGGCCACAGGATCCCACACCAAACAAGACAGATGAGCTCTCCTGTCAACACTGAGTTTCATTCCAACAAGAAGATGAAATGTAAGTGTTCACAAATATATATGACTTTAGGTCATGATATATAATTAAAGGAAACTAAAGCAGATTAGATGGGTAGAGAATGACCAAGAGGCTCAGAGAAAATGCCTGTGGTGAAATGGCATCTTGAGCAGAGGTCTGAAACAAGTACAGGAACAAGCCATGTGAAGTTATGGAGTAAGAACATTCATTTTGGCCCCTTCAGCTGGACACTGGGCCCTCTCCCAGCTTCTCCTAGACCCCCTCCCAAGTTTCGTATGGGGCAGGGTCATTCTCCAAGTCTCAGTTCAGGTGGCTTCTTCCCTAAGGAGACTTGGTAGCCTCAAAGCTAAACCAAATGTACTTCTCCTCTGGCTTTCAAGTACCTCTAGTAGAGGGTTTCCTGAACCCCCACATTGTTTTATCATTTTTTTGTTAGTTTTCCATTTTTGGCCTAGATCGTGCTTTCATAGAGGACATGTCTTATTCATTTCTGTGTTTCTACCACTCCACACAGAAGAACAAGGAGTCCAATGTAAGCTTGTCAGATGGATGGGTAGAGGAAGAGATGAGTAGAATCATGCAATTTATTCTCACTGTACCCTCAGGAAATGTGCTTATCTACAGTTGAGGAAATGTGGATCCCACTGAGGAGGGATCCCTGACCATGTTGTAGGCTGCAATTCAACTGGCCCAAATTGGGGAAGTAGCTGAACCACCACCAGTCATACCCATGCTATTCGAAAGCACATAACTACAGAGTTCACTTGGACATTTCCATCTGACCCTCACAATAGCCTGAAGAGAACACAAACAGGATAGTTATCTTGATTTGACAAGTAGGGAAATCTTGAATCAGATAGTGGAGAGAATGCCCCCAGGGTCTCAGTGCTGGTGAGAGAGTAAAGATTCCTGACCTGCTGCTTTTTCCATTCATGGTGCTCCCTCCACACCTCGCTGCCCCTAGGAACCATGGCCCCGAGGATCTTTGACTGCATTCAGTTCAACCTCTTAAGGATAAAGAAATGGCTCAGGGTTAAAGAGTCCCGTCACCATCCTCACCCCCCAGGTTGGTCCTATTTCACTTGCTCCAAACAAATGACAGAAGATGTTCTGTCCAAAGACAACAGGAAGCACCTGCCCTTTAAAACAAAACAAACAAAAAACAAAGCAAAGGCAAAAAAGGAAACTAGGCCTCCCTGGTGGTGCAGGGGTTAAAGACAATTCTATCAAGCTATCTATCACCAGCCACTGCAGCACGAGTTCGATCCCCAGCCAGGGAGGTGACCCACATGGTGCAGCAGACCTCTCTTGTCTCGCCCACTGCTCCCCTCAGCAGTGTATTTCAGTCAGTTTGCCTGCTCTGTTCCCCACTCTGTCTCTGGCAAATCCTCTCACCCCCATGCACCTCTGGCCTGTTCTTATATGCATAAATAAATAAATCTTTAAAAAAAAAAAAAGGAAACATTTTCAAGTATAGCCCTAAAATCCCTGTGAACTGCAGTTTTGTCTTTAAAGTTCCTTTCCCTTTAAGACCATAAGCTTTTCTTGAGGATTAAGTTGGAGGAGGACAGAGTGATGATAGAGTGATGATAAATCCACCAACCACAGCAGTCCCTGCCATCAGCCCTTTAATGAGAAACAGGTGGAAGTGGAGGAGAATGAAGGTGAGGATGGGCAGAGATCCCCCCCTTTCTGGTGGGGATGGGGGTTTGTTCTGGATCTCAATGGCCCAGCATTCCTGGCAGGAAATAACAGAAAGAACAAGTCAGCCACAGACTGGATCAGAAAAGGTAACAAAGGCCTCCTCTAGGCCTGAAGATTAACGTGACTTCAGTCACGGCTGTCCATGTTGCGAAACCACACTTTATTCTGTCCTGGGCCTCTATGCCCAATTCAAGAGCTTGCATTTGACCCAGAGAGGTCAAGGTCAGATTCGGGATCTGTATTCAATCCCAGTGCCCCATGTGAAAAATCTTTGTAAGCATGAAAAAGTTTACAAAGCATGTTGAGGTATAATACCTCCAAACTGATACAGAATTAAAAACTCTTATCCCCATAAACCTACTCCCACTCCTATGTTATCAATAAACAATACCAATATTTATTTATCATTCTGCTAGAAAAAAAGCTACGTCTCTTCAGTCTATCCCTGTATCACTCCAAATGCTTAACATTTAAATGTTAAGCAAAGACTGTTGACTTTATTTGAGAAATGTCTCCCCACTGTTGCTTTCTCTCCTTCCCTTGACCACCTGCCCCAGGTCAGGCCCTTTTGTCTCTCATGATTTTCTTACTGCAGCAACCCTCTTCCCCATGCCAACACACCCTACCTGTTGACATCATCTTCCTGAACAATTAAACTGATCAGGTCAGTCCCCTACTCTAAACTTGCTTGGAGTTAAAACCATATATTGCCATTTATCATTCCATTCATTTCCTCATGTTATTCACTTTTCCTGGAATGCCTCCCTTCCCTCTCTATCTCCCCTACCCCCACCCTACCTAACTCCTACTCCTTCTTTGAGGAAGCTTTGCCAGACTTCCCACTTGCCCCCACCCACCCCTCACCAAGCCACCCTGGCTAGGGTAGGTGCCTTCTCCATGGTCCACGGCCTTCTCTTGATGCACTGTGTACCCGCATGACAACCAACTGTTCCTGTGCCTTACTCATCATTTAACTGTGAGCTCCTCAAGGGTTAGCATTCTGCTCCCCTTATCTCTACATCACCCGATGCTAGTTAAAGACCTGACAGAAAGTAAGAACTGAATAAATGTCTAATGATTGAATGAATGGTTAATGGGCATGATGTGACTTATTCGGTAAAGAAGGGTGTGTCAGATAATTCCGAGTTTGGGTGGCTAGATATTGATGCTTTTCATAAATATGGGAAATACCTATCAGATAGAGACTTCACACTACATATGGAGTTCAGGGAAGAAGACACTGGGTGAGAGACATCATTTGGGGAATTGCTACAGTGGGAAAATTCCCCAGAGAGGAGAATAGAGTGAGATAAAGAGGGGAGGGAACACTGAAGAACGCTGGCATTAAAGTGTGGGCAAAGAGGGCCTCCCCTGGTGGCGCAGCGGTTGAGCGCTGGGCTGCGAAGGAGCCCACAGCCTCTGCAGCGCCGGTTCGATCGCCGGTTCGATCGCCGGTTCGATCGCCGGTTCGATCCCCGGTTCGATCCCCGGTTCGATCCCCGTCCGCCAGCGAGGGTCCCACATGGCACGCAGACCTCTCCTGCTGCCCGCTGCTCCCCTCAGCAGTGTACTTTGTCAGTCTGCCTGCTCTGCTCTCCCCTCTGGCTCTGGTGAATTCTCTCACCCTCCTGCGCTTCTGACTGTACCCCAGTGCTTGTATAAATAAATAAATAAATCTTTTTAAAATAAATAAATAAATAAAGTGTGGGCAAAGAAAGACAACCCCATTGCAAATGTCAGAGGGGGAGTAGCCAGATAGGAAGGCACTGATCTAGCACAGTGACATCACCCAAACCAAGAAGGGAATGCATTCCAAAAGAGTGACCAGGGTTTCTTGGTCATGGGCAGACTTCTTAAACTCTGGACAAGGAAGGCCCTTTCAGTCTAGGTCTTGCTTGTATTTCCCAACTTACCCACACACAATACAGAATCCAGTCTATCTACATGGCTAGGGTTTGCCCTCTATACTTTTTCTCAGTCATTCCCTTTCCCTGGAAGTCGTATATCCACCCACCCCAAAATTGCCATCAATCAATGCCATCTTGAGCTTTTCCTCCTGTAAAGCCTTCCTAACCTATCTCTGCCCAGTGGAGTAAGTTGTTCAATCTTCCTCTAGACCTTCACTCTTTGTGCACTTGCCTCTTACACATCCCCATACCATTGTATTTTTTTTCCCATGCTATTTTCTCCACAAGATTGACTTGTCTAGGAGCACTGTGTATCTGATTTATCTCTATAATGCCAGGAGCAGACACAGGTTCTGGCATAAAGCCAGAAGGTCATATATTTTGTTGAATGAGAAAGAATGAAGAACTTTGCATATCAACATCACTTTTGAGAACAAATCAACAGAAGTACACAAAATGTGGTTAATTGAAGAATCTCCTTCATTGGATTTTGATTTGCTGAGGTTCTCCTGGAAATGCCTGAGTTAATATCATACAGGATGAATTGAGTGCATTTTGCCCTGTAGAAGCTCCTGAATGTAGCTGCAAATGAACTAATCTGGGTGGGAGGGAGCACCTTCATGAGGTTATATAGAAACATCCGTTTGTGTTGAGGCTGCCAAACTGCCTTTCCCTTGCCCCCACTGCACCAAGGGTGTCTCATAAATGTTAAATAATCATAATGACCATACTCAAGGGGGTGTCAGTGGTCATAAAGCCTAGCTTTTATGGATGCTTTCCTGCATCTCCTGGTGGGTGGTTAGGAGCTGAGCAGGTCTCATGGCCAGAGGTCTCCATACAGGCTGCATCTGACAGACCTATAAGCTTGGGTGGCAGGAAGGGAATCCAATCCCAAGCTGGGATGCCCAATCATGATTGATTGAGGAAGGCCACCCACACTGAGCCTTCTGGAATCCATTGGTGAGTCACAAGCCAAAGGATTATGTCTTCAATATGGGCCATTGGGCCAGATAGCGAGGTATTTCCTGCTTACAGCTTCAAGGAGCTGTCCTTAATGAGGGTGATGACCTGTAGGTCCAAGAAATAAGCAGATGAGAGAGAAACCCTAGTCTCATTCACACCTCATGGGACATGACTTCCTAAGCCTTTTCTCTTTGATTCTCTATTCTCTAGCAGACCTCAGTTGACAGTCATTCCATCATTTATCTGTTGTATCCATTCATTGATGGACTGAGCACCTGGGCTAGGTGTAAGAAGTACAGAAATAAATGAAACAGCGTCGCCACCCTTATTGGGTCAACTTAGAGTGAGTAGTAAGAAACTAATTCCCATGCAATGTGTTAAGTAAATACAGTCATAGAAGTATGCATGGAGAAAAGAAAGGGGGCTGGGGAGATGACATTTGCACTGAGCTTCAAAGGATGAATAGAATTCCACCGAACAAGAAAAGGGAGAAAGTGAGAGTGCCAGCTATCCAGGGGGGTGGAGAAGCCATTTTAAATAATTAGCTGTTTTGAGTGAGAGGAGTGTCGAAATGGGAGTCACAAGCAGGACCTCCGCCTTACATAATTCCAGGGGTACCACTCACACCAGAGTCCAGAGAGTCACGCAGTGCATAACCTGGTCGTTACATGGCCCTCGTGGCCCTGATCAAGAAGGAGACTTTGGTTCCAGACCTGTTCTCTGCTATTAAATAGCTTTACGACCTTGGGTGATGCTCCTCATGGTTCTCAGTCTCTTCAAACATAAAATAGAGAAGCTGGCCTGAATGGCGTGCAGATATCTTCTTCTCTCGAGAGTTCTCTGAGAGTCTATGGGCCCAGACTGAGATGAAATGATACAAAAGTTAAAGCTTGTCATATCAGGTCTGAATTGGGCACTATCCCAGGAAATTAGACTTTAATCTTCCCCCTGGATCTTGATTTCTGTACCTTTTTTTCATAGGTCACTTAACCCAAGTGGCTCATTTCTGAGATGAGACCAAGGCCCTGAACAACAAACAAATGGCCAAAGAGATATGGTAGTAGGGTCAGAACCTAGACACAGGCCAGAACACAAGTGTTCTTTAGCCCAAGCCAACTAGTTACCAAGCTTGACTCCAACTCCCTCCAATACCTTGTAACCTCCCTAACCTAAGTTTCAGGTGTATTAAAAAAAGAAGAAAAAAGTTACAGGAAGCAAACCCAGCAGTCTGTTAATAAGCTTAGTGCTCAGATGAAGATTGCTGGCGGCTCTCCCCGCCTCTGGCCACCATGCTTCCACTCTGCGGGCTCCCAGCACAGAGCACACAGTTAACCAAACCTGCACACCCAGAACTACAGCGCACCTCTCCCTGATATTTCTTGAAAATATGAGAACTCCTAACACTTTTTGTGATAAGTAAATTAAATCTACAGATACAATGAAGTCAGTTTAGACAGATAGCCAGAATATCCCAAGCACTATCCACCCAGGCACCCAAAGGAGAAACCCAAGTGTCATTCTCCCCCCAGTTCCAAAGCATGTCGCTCTCTCCACTCCCACTGACCTACTTCAGTGCCACCCCTTTCTCACCTGACCTATTACAACAGTCACTTAGCTAGGCTCCCATCCACCTTTCTCCACACCACTGCCATGACGGTTAGGACTCTCCCCTGCTCAAAGGCAAATTGGGGCACTCCCACACCCATTAGATAAAACCCCAACTCTTCAGTACTGCGTGCCACACCATTTGTGATTTCCCCCACCCACGTGTCATTATCTATCTCTTCCTTCCAACTCCTCAAGAGAGCAAGGTTATTATTTACTATTCTACAGATAGGTCTTCACTTGGGCTATTTCCTAGGTCTGGAATGCATCTCCCTCCCTAAATCCATCTGCTTTGTATAGCCCTCTTAGATTAATCGGCTCTGGCTGCTATAAAAAAAAAAAAAAACACCACAGGCAGGATGACTTAAACCACAAAAATTTACTTTCTCACAGTCCTGGAGGTGAGACAATTTTAGTGAGAGTTCTCTTACTGGCTACAGGTAGTTGCTTTCTCACTGTGGCCTCGCACAGCCTTTCTCCTGTGTGTACAATGTGAGAGCTCCGTGGAGTCTCTTCCTTTTATAAGGACACCGATGCTGTTGGGTTAGGGTCCCACCCATATGACCTCAGGTAATGTTAATTATCTCCCCAAAGGTCCCATCTCCAAATACGGTTAAGGCTTCAATATATCGGGCCTCCCTGGTGTCACAAGGGGTTAAGTACAGCAGCCTCTGCAGCACAAGTGAAGCTATCTGCAGCCTCTGCAGCACAAGTTCGATCCCTGGCCCGCCAGGGAGCTACCCACATGGTGCAGCAGACCTCTCCTGTCTCGCCTGCTGCTCCCCTCAGCAGTGTATTTCAGTCAGTCTGCCTGTTCTGTTCCCTGCCCTGTCTCTGGTGAATCCTCTCACCCCCTGCATCTCTGGCCTGTACCCCAGCTCTTGTATGCATAAGTAAATCTATTTTTTATTTTATTTATTTATTTTTTTTTAAAGATTTATTTTTATACAAGAACCGGGGTACAGGACAGATGCGCGGGAGGGTGAGAAGATTCACTGGAGACAGAGTGGGGAGCAGAACAGGCAGAGTTATGAAACACTGCTGAGGGGAGCAGCAGACGAGACAGGAGAGGTCTGCTGTGCCATGTGGGATTCTCGCCGACCGGCCGGGATCGAACCCCTGCTGCAGAGGCTGCAGACAGCTTCACAGTGCGGCGCTCAACCGCCTGTGCCACCAGGGAGGCCCAAATCTATTTTTTAAAAAGGCTTCAATATGTGAATTTGGGAGAAAGGGACCCAATTGAGGTCACCACCCTCATAGCTCTTTATCTCTCTTTATTACATTATTTGTTTCATGTCTGTCTCCTCCTGGCTTTTGAGTTCTTGAGAGAATCAAAAATTGTCACTGAATCTGTTATCAGTGAGATTATCAGTCCAGGTTTCCTGGGGCCTGAGGTTTATAAAATGTGGTGGGCCTTGAATTTAGAAAGGCCACATGCAAGTAAAGTGTCTTAGAGTTGAAGCTTTATAAGCATCATAGCCAACCAATGTCTGGGCTCAATAAAGCTGTATCACAATAAAGAACCTCCTCGGGTATTAGAAAGACCACAAATGGGGCCACACTCCACACTTTGGAAAAATAACTTCATTATCTGAACCTCAGTTTTTCTGCAAATGGGCTTATAGCACCTGCTCTGTGAAGTCCTTTTAAAGGTATACATAGCCTAAAAATATGTTAAATATGTGTTTACTTGTTGATTGTCTATGTTTCCAACAATGAAGACAAGGACTTTGCCTTGGTCACTGCTGAATGCCTGGCGTTCCGTGATGGTGTCTGGAAATTCTTGGGTGCTTACCAAATATTTGTTGATTGAAAGTCCATGAAAGAACAATTCCTGGTATCCATTGGTCCATAAGTTCTCCCAAATGTAATAATTGCTGTTATTAATGAATCTTAGGTAAATAATAAGGAAGAGACAGAAAATACCAATTATCAGAAGACAAAAAAAACCACTGTCAGTTAGACTTTGGAAAGCATTATCGCCAAAATATCTTATAATTCTAAATGTTTTTAAATTTAGAATAGCAAACATCTGGAAGGAGGGAGAGAAGAAGGAAGGAAAGAGAAGAGGTGAGAGAGAGAGAGATGAAGAACATGCAAAACATCAAAACTAACACTGAAACATTGCAGGCATAAGGCAGAGTCAAAAAAGGAAAGCCCCAGAAATTTGACATGGTTACTCCGGTGACCAAGACAGCATCTTAATCCATAGTTCAACAGTTTCCTAGTCCTCTTGGGGGAACAGAGTGTAGCTGGGTCTGAAGGAAGCCCTCTCAGATCAGCTGTTCAAAACATGCAGGCAGAGCTGTCGCCAGACGACCTCAAATTATGTCAGGCCCCAGTCTCTCCCACCCTGGAGCTGAAAAACCAAACAACTTAGCTCTGAACTCTTCACCCCAATCAATTCAGTGAAACCCCATCAAAACCCACAAATAAGTTTGCTTGGCCTGATTCTGACATTTCTAGCTAAAGATATATGACTCCTCCTGGAAGAATCTATCTTTTAAAAATGGCTCCTAGTGAGTTAGATGAAGCCGAGAGACCTGAGAGAGGCCTCAGAACTACAGAGAGCACCCTTCATCACAAGTGAGGAGACTGAGGCTCACATCGAGTGACTTGTTTTTTTTTTTTACTGTTACAAGGAACCCTTTACACTGATCTAGTCTCCAATACAGCCTATATGATTCTTACACTTGACCGTGGTGGTAATTCTCACCCAAAAATAAGGCATGGCCTTGACCTCACAGACCTTGCTTCAGTTTCTTATTCTGCTTTGCATGTTCATGGGAACTTGGACAAGTGACTCTACCATCTGTGCCTCAATTTCATCCCCAGCAGGATGTGATAAAAGCTTTTATCTCAGATGCTTGTTGTCAAGATAAAGTGAGATAGCATTTTCTTAAAAATCTGATACTTTCGGTGCTTAGTAAGTGTTGGTTTCTCACCTTCTTTCTTCCTCCCTCTCCTTCCTTCTTTTTCTTTAAATCCACTCATTTCTTCCTTTGCTCTTAATAAGTACTATAATGAATGCAAAGAAGTGTAACACAGGGCCCTTGCTCAAAGGAAGATCCTTTCCACGCAGGTTCAGTTTTCACGTCTATGAAATATGAAGGTGTCTCCAGACCTACGCCCCCTGAGCTAATTCTCAGCTACCATGCGTGTTTACCTGTATTCTACCCAAAGTGCAAGCAGCTCTTCTGGGCAGGTTCTGGGCCTTGCTGCAGGGATATTCAGAAGTACATGTCCTGTCCTCAAGGAACTAAAGAAAAGAAAGAGAGAAACCCACAGTAGGCATGATATTTATATAGATACTTTCAAGAGATCAGATGTCTGTAGAGAAAGGAGGGAAACAGCCATGTCAGGGTCTGGGGATGAGATAGTCAGAGGGGGAAACCCAAGAAGTGCTGTGGTTCTCCTTGTCCAATTAAAAAAACAAGCAAAAAAATGTTAAAAGGAAGTAGAAGTTCACCAGTGAGGGCAAACAATTTCTGGGCATCAAATTTATTCAGCTTTCTGAGTGATTAAGTCTGGTGAGAAGAAAATATAAAATTATATGAGACTGCAAAAAGAAAGAAAAATGAAAGAAGTGGAAAAGGGACAGAAGAAAGGACAACTATCTTTGGTGATTTATTAAGCACCTCTGGGTGCTTAATGCCATAGCAGGCCCCTTCAGGCATACATTCCATGATGCAGACCATGAAGAGAGGGGAAGGAATAGTAAAGAGAAGAGAGGAGAGAATGAAGGATGAACAAAAAGGAGGAAGAAGACTAAGAACAGGATAGAAGGAAGGACAGAATGAAAGAAGAAACCTGTGAAGTAGATATTATCGTCTTCATAAACACAAGAAAACTAAAGCCAAGAGATGAAATGCCTTACCCAAGGCCACACAAGAACAGTAAGAACCAGGATCCAAGGTCAACTACATTAGGGGCTCTACAGAAGAATTCAAAGGACTCTGTTGTTTAAGTTTGAATAAGTCGTAGGGCCTCCCTGGTGGTGCAAGGAATTAAGAAGCAGCACTCTGAAGCTATCTGTAGCCACTACAGCATGAGTTTGCGTTCCAGCCAAGGAGGTACCCACATGGTGCAGCTGACCTCTCCTGTCTAGCCCGCTGCTCCCCTCAGCAGTGTATTTCAGTCAATCCTCCTGTTCTGTTCCCCACTCTGCCTCTGGTGAATCCTCTCTCACACACACACACACACACACATACCTGCCACACCTCTGACCTGTACCCCAGTTCTTGTATGCATAAATTAAAAAATCTTAAAAAAAGTTTTAATAAGTCCCTTTCCTGGCTAATAGAAGAAGGTCCTGCTCTGTCTCTGGTGAATCCTCTCACCCTCCTGTGCATCTGGTCTGTACCCCAGTTCTTAAATAAATAAATAAATCTTGAAAAAAAAAAAAAAGAAGGAACTAAGGAGAGAAAGAGGAAGTTCTTGGCCACAGTCACACAGTGAGTGAGAGGCCAAGTTCCCAGTCCTCAGAATCAGCCTCTTTGGATTTTAGAAAACCTAAATAAGGGACCAGGAAAAAGACTAATCAATACAAAGTAAAACTCAAAATCAACAAGCAACTGAAACCAGAGACACAATGTAGGGGGGCTGGGGGTGAGGGCGGGGAGAGGAAGGATTAGGGTCAAAATAAGGGGGATGCAATTGTATGGGGAATATAACCAAAATGAAGATGCATACATTGTGCAAAAATGAAAAATGATGTAAGAATTATATAAAATAAAATATTTTTTAAAAAAAGAAAAAGAAAAAAAAAGAACCAGCCCCTTTGACCTGCATCAGAATTACTGATCAGTTACAAACACAGCTTCTAAAAAGGCCTCCAGGCCCCTCAGTCCACTCTTATCAGAGACAAAATTTCCCTTTTTTGTTCTTGATTTTAGGTTATTCTCTGGTCTTCATTAGTATTTCAACCAGAAGAAAAGGGGCAACATCAGGTACCATAGCTTAAAGTTGAGTCAGTGAATTTCTATATATCCCACGGAAGTTACAGGTCAACAGGCCACTCAGCTGACCCAGAGAGGGATGGATCTCTTTACTGGTCAGGATGGGCCTTGAGGGCAGAATGAAGAAAAGCATCACAGTTCCTGTAGCACTGGCCCAAAGGTCTCCTCTTCCCAGAAGGTAGGATCAGGTAGGTGCCCGATGTCAGCAATTTCCTGGGCACTATTGTTGGTCACTCCAATTAAAATTAGAAGGGATTATTTGTAGAAATAATCAGAAGTTTCCAGTTTTCAAAGAGCTCTTGCGTACTTTATCTCTTTGGGGTATTCACACAAGGTCAAAGGAAAGGTAAAACAGAAATCAATTTGCCCTTATGATTTGGCAGTTGATACTGGAGACCCATTAAGATCTCACTAGAATATAAATTCCTCAAAGGTGGGGATTGTGTCTTTTTGTTCTCTACTGCTTCCCTAGTGTTTATAGCACTAAACTTGGAGTGATGCCCAATAAATATCTGTTTAACGAATGAACAGTAAACCATTTCTGTCAGTCTTCCCAACCTCAGCTCTCTCGTAGTCCTATTAAATCATGTATAGGAAGCTCTTTCCCCAGGATGTCCTCATTCTTCAGCCTGAAATGGACTCTTTCACCTTTGCCTCCTACTGGACCTTTATGTCTCAATCTTGACATTAATGGTTACTGTGCTCACATAGGAGACTATTTACTAAACAAAAATGATTGGTCCATGGGGGTAACTAGGGACATATCTATCTGCTTAGTCTCTACTTGCTATACTGAGCTGTATATCCTGGTATTAAAACCATGCAAACCTGGGGAATGTCATGCGTAATTGAGAGACACAACTTCAACTCAGAGTGTAACAACAGGGTTTACTCACAAACAGCAAAAGGAGAAAAGGAAAGAGTTTTCAAGGGCAAAAATGGACGTCTGTCTTATTCTAGATAGTTTCTCCAATGTTCAACAGTCCAAATCAAAACCTGCTCATGAAAGATGGCATTGTCACTCCAATAAGGGTCTGGAGCTGGTGGCACACTCATTAAGGAGTGGACCAGGACCCAAATCACAGTGGCAGCTGGAGGTAATCCCAGGTAACACCCTGAGGCATCACCACAGCAGCCAGTAGCAGCACTCTGGAGGCTGGCTGGGCAACAGGAGACAGCTTTAGAGGTGGTGCAGGCTACGTCTAGGACCAGGCAGCAGAGGACAGTTCTAGAATTTGGTGTTGGTCCTGCCAGAGGCAGGAGCACTGCTCAGGAAATTCGAAGTGACAAACTGGAGACCAGAAGCAAAGGTCTTCCCTGGCAAGGATAGAACGTGTTACAATCCATCTGCTGACCCACATTTTGTGGCTTTCAGGGTCCCCTTCACTCCTTTTCTTTGTTCCCCAAAGAAGTGCAGATTCCAAACCTGATGGGTGTGTTTTCAAAACTGGCATTGGTTTCAAAATTTAAATAGCATCTGGCCAAGAACCCTCTGCTGTACTACCAAACTAGAGGCCACGGAGTTCCTCTCACAGATGGCCTGCATTTACCCAGAAAAAGGGACACCTTTTTCAAAGCTTCACAAAAGTTCATAAGGCTTAATTGTAGTTCTGCTGACATCAGTTCTTCCAGAGGCCTTCTCACTTATCTAAGAGTCAGTAAGAATCTCTTCCAATCTCTGGCCTTGTCTGTTTCTCCCTTGGAGTTGTGAGTTCTTTCACTAGAGGGACTATCTTATTAGAAATTGTCTCATCCATTAGGATGGTGCCAGATCCACAAAAGGGGTTTAAGAAATGTTTATTGGATGGCAGGATGAATGAATGATGACTGAGGCCTATGGTAGAAAATTGCCTTTTTCCAGAGTAAGACCTTCAGTAATTGGCACAACTGGCTTGAGTCCCACAAAGCTCAAGAGCTTCCTCCATCAACGGAATCCCTCCTTCCAAACATCTCTTCCGGAAGTCCCGCCTCAGAGACACCTTAGTTTGCTGCAAAGACGAGCCAGATGAACTTAATTAGTTTTGAATACTCATGCATCTTATTCACTCAGTCAGTGAGGGTTACTGGAGAACAGAAATATTTGGGGAGACTCATTTTTCCACCCCCAAGTCATAATTCTGACTACTTGTCACTCTTTACCCAGATTTAAGAGGTGTTAACCAATTTCAAGCAGGCTCCATGCCTCCAGTGGCTATCCTGACCGCCAGGCCTTTGGCCCTTTGACTGTTATCCTGCAAATCCAAACCAAATTTGCTTTACCAAGTAGCTTCTCTAAAGGGTCGC